TCGGTTCATTCGAATAATTTTTTTTAAAAGCAGTTTAGATTATTTTTTCTGTTTTATTATAATTAATAAATTATTTGATTTGTAATAGTTTGGCTAACATTCGGTTAGCTAGTGTCCGGTATATGTTTATACGGTATTTCTCTTAGTTGCAAATTCGGCATGTGTTGTAAATTCGATGTGTGCAGATACGGTATGGGCACATACGGTATGTGTTGCAAATCCGATATGTGTTGTGAATCCGGTATTTGTTAAATCGGTATAAATTCACTATTATTTTTAATCTAACAAGATGTCCGTAGAAACAAAGTCATGGTACGCTCTATCATCCCTCCGGAGTTCTCGTCTATAGGACGTAAAGGGGAGTCCATAGAGAGGAGAACTGCTTTTTAAATGTTTCGTCCAAGTGGTATGGTTGTGCTTCTTAACCGGACACTAAAATATGGCTCTCAACACTAGAAGGAATACTAAAGACACCTAATTTCCCTAGGAAATAGAGAATGAAATAGAAGATCCTAGAGTTAAATGTTTCAACTGTCACTAAACTTTGCACCATGTTACGGTTTCCTCATTTTTTTGTCATCCGCATAGGCAACAATTGAAATAGATTTCATCCAGTGAGTGATGGAGTGGAACTCTTAATGAAGTTTGGCAAATAAGTCATGACATTGTGCAAAGTTTAGTGACTACTCAAACATTTAATTCAAGATCCTGCACACGAAGCTCATAGTCATTGCTACTTTAAGGAACGCGAGATCTGCATCAAATGCTTAGAAACCGATAAATCGTAATTAGACAACAAAGAAGCTTGTTAAATTTTCTTAGATCTCGTGACAATTCAAGACGCATGGTTTTTATAGACTGGTTATCCATTATGTAGTTTAAACTTGAATTTTTCTCCTGAGCATATTTGAGAAGTGTTTGTAAATGAGTTTAAATTATAAATGGATAGAAATGACTAGTCAATAAGTAAGTAATACTCGTGGGTTCTACGAAATGTATGGTAAAAAATGATTTGATCAAAGCATGATGACAATTGTTTATAAATGGTTTAAATTATAAATAGATAAAAATGAGTTATTGATGAGTGGGTATTTCTTGGGATCTCTTAACATGTGTGGATAAAATTAGCTTGAGCGTTCGTAAATAGTATAAGATGTTTTTAAAATTATTTTTCCTTAATATCATTTTCAACCATATTCTATAGGATCCACAACGTTTCCCTACATTTAACATTCTCCAAAAAAAATAAAAAAAAACTCACTTGGAATAATCTTTGTCAAGCAAACTCCTATATAGTACGTATTGGATAATACTATTGACAAAATGTTTGCTTCATTTTTCATTTTTATAATGTCCAATATTGTCTAATACATCTTAACCAAATTTGTCAGCTTTTACGAAACTGTCGTATATCATTGATGCATCTGCTAATCATAATATATGTCACAAATTACTAATGCACATTATTTTGGAAACTATTGGGAGTCAAAATTATTTGAGTTGGGATACAAGCTAGTGGCAGCTCTAAACTTGGGTACCTAAGTTCGTCTTGATGTACACATAGTGCTACCTTCGTATGTCTATGTCTCTACCGTGTCCTGGCATACGGTGTTGCTATTGTATACCATGACCTGCTCACGGTATTGCCTTTGTGTGTGGCGTTCAAACGATGTTGTCTTTGTGTTTCATGACGTGTCCGCAGTGTTGCATTCATGTGCCATGACGTGTTGAAAGGAATTTGTTGGCACAATGATGCTATGACCCAA